ACCACATATAAATTTATTCTAAGACTGTGGTGAGAGCTGACTGCGAACAAGCCGAAATTGTAGACAACAATTTACGTCAATGTTCACGTCCCGAATCAGAGTCATGAAGGAAAAAACAATAACAAAGCTTAACCTTGAGAAAATCACCAGCCAACCACAGCGGAGTTAACGTATGGAAATATGATTCGCAGATATGTGGCTTTAACTTCTGAGAAACGGACACAAAGAGATAACAGAATAACCTTCAGCTTGTCCGTTATCAATAATGTACATAAAAATCTCTTAATACCTCTTGATTTTCCCAATAAAAATCTGTTGCCTGGCCCTTGTCTTCTGTCGTTACAAGACTAAAGGCAAAATTTACTCAAACAGTAATTTCTGTTGACTGTAAACTGGTGAATTAGACTTTGTGTTTTCAACAACTTTTACTACTTGCCATTTAATTTAGCTTATTACCTTTCTTTTGTTTGTTATGCATATAATGCTTGTCCAGTAATCTTCAAGTATAAAATAGGTATTTCGTAGGGAATAAAAATACAGTTGCAGCGAAGAAAATTTTCTTTTCGACGAAGTCATCAACTAGGCTATACATTCGTGTATTTATATCAAGTGGATGGGAAAGTTCCAGAATAATTTCCGGTTAAGGGTCAAATTAATAAAAATTACAATTAGGAATTAGAATGCCATAATAAACAGAGGGATGGATAAAACTCAAACAAAGTAACATCATAATTATTGAGAAGATTGACATTGTGCGATTTGGGGTTTATGGCCAGCCTCGAAAACAACCCCTTATCATCAACTATTGACGATCTTCATCTCTACAAGAGATACATTGATGATACTTTTGTCATTTGTGATGAGAACCTGGACCTTGAAAACTTACTTCAAATCTTCAACAACGCCCACCCAAACATCGACTTTACACTTGAGACTGAATCCGACGGAATGTTCCGCTTGATCGACGTCCATCTGACAAGAAATGACAACACCTCTCTGAAGAGGTCCATATACAAAAAGCCTACATGGACTGGACAATTCATCAACTTTCAAAACTTCGTGCCGCTAAACAAAAAGAGGAACCTGATATGCGCTCTTTCCTCAAGGATTCGGAAGATACGCAGCGAGGAAGTGATTGAAGAAGAACTGCTGATGGAAAACGGTTTCCCACCCAGGTTCATAGACAAGAACCTCAAATCAAAGAAGACTTCTGAACAAGTCCAATCCGTTCCAAAGAAAATACTTCTGCTTAATCTAGAATTCAAAAGTGATATTGAAGCAGAAATCCTCCGCAAACGCCTCTCCAAATCGCTGAGGAAAACATACTTCGCCGCGAGCCTACGACTGACGTTTTCCTGCAAGATACTGTTCAGCCAGAACGTGAAAGACAAGCTGTCGCATTGGGCTACCTCAACGTGCATATACCAGTTTACTTGCTCTTGTGGAGCTGAGTACATCGGTCGTACCATGCGCCGACTTGAAAAACGCGCTCGCAAACACTACCCAGCCTGGCTAGTAAAAGGAGAGCAAAAACGTGTAAACAGTTCAGTGACAGAACATCTGGTCAACTCAGGACATTCAGCGCCTTTCAAAAAATCCTTCAAAGTAATATACAAGATTCAATCAAACCTATCAAAGGGAGTGAAATCAAGACATCTGGGCATAGCTGAGGCGTTAGCTATCCAAAAGCTCAAACCCACTCTTTGTATCCAAAAGAAATACGTCCAACCCCTGTCCCTGCCATGGCCATCATAAACAGGTAAAACTTTTTTTAGTAATGATCATCCCATCGCCTTTCTTATCTAAACTTCCTGTTTATTCATGTTATTTTAAGTTTTCTTAATCCCTGTCTACACTACCATATTTTCATATCCACACTTCCTGTTTATTTTTTTCATTTTACTATTTCTACATATTTAATCCCTGATTGCATAAACAATTATTCATCACATTAGTTTTTTATCCAAACTTCCTATCTATTGTTGTTATTTCTACATTTCTAACCGCCAGTTGCTCAATGTCAATCTTCCCAGTAATTATTTTGCTACTTTGTTTGAGTTTTATCCGTCCCTCTGTTTATTATGTCATTCTAATTCCTAATTGTAATTTTTATTAATTTCACCCTTAACCGGAAATTATTCTGGAACTTTCCCATCCATTTGATTTAAATACAGGAATGTACAGCCTAGATGATGACTTCGTCGAAAACAAAATTTTCTTCACTGCAACTGTCTTTTTATTCTCTATGATCAAAAGTGTTTCGTAGTAGATAGAATGCGTAGCTTCACTGGTTTCAAACTACCGCTGTCGCCACATCTAATCAGTCACCTGAGGGAAAGATGATACCGGATGTCTCAATAAACAGATGACAGATATTCAACAAATTATCTAGCCATAGGAACTACAAGTAAAGACTACCAACAGAGAAGGGTGGAAAGAGCTCAAACTTGGCAGCATTGACGGCTAATATGTCCTTTGAAGATCACAGAGTGTGAAACACTTGTCACCCAATGTCATTTGAACAGTTTTTACCGAATGAAATAACATGCTGTAGGCGGTCAACAATTTCCCGGAATTCTTAGATCACAGTATTATTTACTCGTTACTGTTTCCCGACCTTCATTGTTTAAGTCAGCCTGTTAAGCTGAAGGTACACAGCCGAGTATCTACGTCATTCGGCACACCGATGAATAACATTCGGTCGTTTGCACGCGACTGCTAGGCCAACTAAGCAAGCATTATCATACTACGATTCTTATGCCAAAATTTATCTCGTATTATAGACGATCAGTATGGTGTTTTGATTTGTCTTAGTTTGGGATTTCCAGCATAGAAACCTGCCTTTATATACAGCGTATCTTGTGTAGGCGCGTTACCATCCTTCACCTCTTAAACTGGTGAGCCTAAATACAACCTGTATATGCTAACAGGCCTTCATTTTTATTGACTAATTTTACTGAATCGAATTTACCGAACACCCCAGCCATGAAACACAGACTGAATCAAAACGAAAATCCCTGAGACATGAAACTATTCGTGCACATTTCCAATGTCCACACCACCAACTGACCGATTCAGTTCAACAGAAGACAATGGAATAGGCAATTATAATAGGCCAGCAGAAGACTAATCACCCAACGGTAACGCAGGTGGTCCAGGGTTCGATCCCAGGCCACCGACGCATTCCTTTATCTCACTAAGCCAGTAATAGGATTGGCAAAGAGGTAGGTTGGGCATGAGGCTAGCTACCTCATCCCGTAAAAATGAACACCACTCCTAATGAAACTTCGAAGCTCCACCTTGAAGCCCTAAGTTCCACCGGGAACTTAAAGGAATAAAAACACGTGGATAACATCCTGCATTCTAAAGTGATACGAACAGCGCTCAGACAGTATTAGGGGGACTGAAATATTAGGATACACATACATATATATGTCACGTTTCGTCACGGATTGGCATCAGTTGCAGAACTATTGAAAACCAACACTGGAGTCCTGCACAGCTGTTTCTTCCTTCTAGTTTGGGACTCATAATCAGTATTCAACCATCACAGGGGTTCAAACCCAGGACCTTCCTGTTACAAGGCAAGTTCGTTGACCACAATTCATCCACTGGCGTCACCCAATTCAGTAACCGGACTATGAATTCTTATGATCCAGTCACTGACTCGGGAGTGCCAGTGGATGAATTGTCGTCAACGAGCTTGCCTTGTAACACCCAGTAAAAGGTCCTGGGGGTTCAAACTCCTGTGATGGGTGAGTACTGCCGATGAGTCTCAAACCAGAAGGACGAAACATTAATCCCACACTTCACTGCTAACCATGCCCAAATGACGAATAACAAGGCAGTTGAAATATTTGTTGCTTTTTTTTGTTATTTTGTCTAGCGCTGATAAAGACTAATCAATATTATAAATGAATAAACCAATGACGAGTATAGGTGAGTGAATAAAAGAAGACAAGTGGTTTATATAAGCAGAGAAAATAGAGATAAACAATCTTTCCCGCCATGTTGAATAGATAAACATCGGTTAATGTGTAAATAGCAGATAAATAGGTAAGACCAAAAAAAAAATTAAAGAGAAGTAAAATGTTTTTAAAAAAACAACAACACAACAATGATAAAAAGACGTACAAGAAAATCACAAAATTGGCTGATGGAAGACATCACGGCTGATCAAAAAACACATCGAACCAACAGACTGACAATGGAAATAATAAATGGCTGACATAATTTTGATAAAAGGGAGTGATTTTTAATGAACGAAACCGCTCCAGATTTAAGCGGTTGCCTTCATAACCCGGTTGATTAAAACAAGAACAATGAATCTCCGGTGGTAACGCCAACACAATAACAGTCAAGAGATGAATACAATAGTTTTACGCCTACATACACACAGTGTGTTGTTGCACGTAGGACGAGAACCGATAGTTGGCGGAAAAACGATCTGTGTTGTAGGTGTGTACGAAATCTCTAATTTTGAAATAGCCGCGTAAAAACCACTTTACTAAAACAAGCAGTATGTCTGTCTATGTGTGTGAAAAAGGAGGTGCTCAAAGGAGAAGTCTTTTATCCTTTAGAGAAGAGAAACGCATTATTTCATATATGTGTGTATGTATATTGTTTGCATAAACTTTATTGAACCATTGATAATTATATTTTAAAAAAACACATTTGTAATGCATTCATGAACTATGGCCTCTTCTTTTATCATTTGAAGTATGAATTATAATTCATAAATATAGTGTAAACAACGAAATTCATATACCTAGTGACAAGCAGAACAAATTCTGTAAATGTATGTGTATAAATATATAATAGGGCTACAGAGATCGGCGATTGCATGCAAACATAAATAGTGTGTGTGTGTGTAACAGCAATAGATAAAAAGCGATTTTTGTTAAAAAAAAAAACACGAAAAGACAGCGAATATGTTTGTATAATCTTTGACTGCATGTATTGTATTATGTGTAGGTAGGTACTTGTGTGTATTCAGTCAAAACCAGATGTTTAAGGCACATTTACATTAGTTTGTTTGAACACATCATGTACGCATTAATATATATGTGTATTTTTTCGAAGGATTTCCATAGGCTACTGATAAAATAATTAAGTAGTCTAAAACGTGAAGCATAAATTAATTCCTTTAGTTAACTGCTATGATTATGATCAAGATGACAGCAACAATTGCACAGACTGTAGCATGAAGACCGATTATGAAGTATTTGAACATACGACCCTGAAATGCAAAAAAGGGTTGAATAAGTTACGATTATACATACGTATATATATCTTACACAGGATTTAAAAAGTATTTTAGAAATACACACGCATCAGTCGATGGATGCTTTTAATTCCGCTTGAAAGCTTCGACGGTATAATGAGGTCCCTTCCAGAGGTGGTAGAGAGGAGACTCAAACTAATCAAGGCGACTTTATAGTGCAGTAAAATTTATTTAACATTGTTTATGACCATTTGCAGATGAGTCTTCCCAACTACTCTATGACTTACATTTTAGTGTCATTTTTAAAAAAAACGGTTATAATTCCAGTAAAAAGTACAGTGGAAATACAAAAGGGTGTCAGGTAAAGCTAAAGGAAACCGATCCAAGGAGATGTATGGACCAATGACTTAGAAACGATCAGTCCCCCTGAAAATGCGGATTTCGGTCGCTAACTCAGTCCTAACCCTAATCATTTTTTCAATCTTTTACAACTCCCATTGTGGAAAATAGGGTATCAGGCTAGAGCTTTCAAGTCTAAATAGTGTTTTCTTTTATAGAGTGGGTTCGCTAGCCACACGCCAAGCCTTCCCTCTTTACTGACTTTACTGCTAGGTTGGCGTGATTTATGAGTGTGTCAGCCGGGGATCGAACCTCGGACGATACGTTGACAACTGCCTTCAAATGACTCCGAATGCTATTGTAAAGAACAGAACAAGAAGTTGTTGAATTGCTTAGATATTATTCACTTAGTCATGCTAAAAGCGGTTAAGCAGATTATCATTATATGGAAGCCTCCCGAAAATGAATGGATTATAGAAAGTGTATGTGTAATAGTCCGTCCAAAAAAGAGGCTAAAATCAAAAGATTACACATAAAAGGATCCTACAACTGCCTCGCGAATTACGCATTACTTTCCTCTGCGACGCATCCTGGATGACAGTTGTGCAATATAACCTCTATACCAATAAAAAATTCCCAATAACTACCTGTACAGCGCTTTAACTAGACACTTACTGCTGTGGTGAGTCACTTACAATTAGTATCGCTGAAAACGTTATTATCGGTGAAATAACACTTTAGAAAACAATTTTATCACTTTATGAATAGCCTAGCGAGCCTATCGCCAGTAACGATTCCTCAAATATACCACGCATTTTGGTTAAATTTCTTCAATAGCGAGGCTTTGTATTATACTGTGTACATTGCTTCCGCATGTGTAAAGTGACATTACACGTTAAATGATTTCATTATGAGCTGACATAGATCGGTAAGAGGAGCATCGGAAAACCAGCTGGGAGCAGTGGACAGTTGCTTTCGTTGTCTTAGTTTGGGACTGACTCTTCAGCAGTACGCACCCAAGTCAAGGGTTCCAACACACAACCTTCTTAGTTACAAGGTTAGCCAGATCGTGGACCATTAAGCCACTGGGACCCGACCCGATCCAATGACCAGCCCATGAATTCTAACTTCTGCCAATTTGCGAAATGGCGCGACCGCTAGCCAATGTCTTCGGCGAGTATTTGTCCTCACACCCGACCTGCTGCACCCTACTGGTCACGACTTCCCTCTACCTACCTAAATAGGGCCAGTCGCCATTGAGCACCTCATTGATATTCAAATATTGGATTGTAGGGATTTGATTGACTGGTTACAGGATTTCATCATGAGCTGACATCGGTTGGAGAACCACTGGGACTGCTGGGTGCGCACTGATGAAGAGCCCCAAAGTAGGAGGAAACAGCTATCCAGTATTCCCGGGTTTTCCAGTGGTTATGCCTACTCCGTGCATATGTTATTCATATCATACTGATGATGCCTGTAAACTGGCGTCTCTCATGTACAAAAACTGAGAATATATTATTATTATTATTATGACCGGATACACAACATAGGTTTGGTACACAACCAACTGGATCGATGACTACACAGAGCCATACGCCATCTTATCAAGGGGGAATAATTTCCAGTTACCTGGATGATTTTCTTTATGTACAAGGCAAAATGTGCGTCGGTGGCATAGAGGTTAGGACGCTCGCTGACCATGCACATGGTCCGGGGTTCGATCCCCGGCCACTGACGCACTCCTTTACCTCGCTAAGCCAGAAATAAAGCTGGTGAAGAGGAGAGGTTGGGCATGAGGCTAGCAACCCCATCCTGTAAAATAAACACTGCTACAGAAACTTCAAGCCACTAGCTTGAAGCCCTGTGTTCCATTGGGGAACGTGAAAGAAAAAAAAACAAGGCAATCATTCAATCATTCATTTTAATATATCTACGAATCTTTTCAAGTTTTTGCGATCGTTCTGCCGTGGAGCTCCATTTCGTCTTGAATATTCTGACTGTGATTGAACAATCATTCAAAATACTTATTCGGTTGAAGGGAAACCGTTTAATACTACCAAGATTTGAATTCTACTTACAAGAGGAATTAATGTGTGACAACTGCTCAAAGTTAAACAATGTTATGTACACCAAGCCAAAAGTTAATTTAACGCTCAACATTTTTGCAAAAGAATAAATATCTGCTACAAAATGCTTACAGAAGGTTCTGGTTCCGGAGGACGTGGTTGACGTGCATTGTTCAGACGTTTAGCAGCTTGATACTGGTCAATTTCAACCATATATGTACGACGTTTATCTAAAGGAAAAGGATATAAAATAAAGCCGCATTTTCATCCTATGTAACCTTAAAAAGTGTCACGTAATTCAAACTTTACAACAAAAACAACAACAATGAGAAAGGGAAAACAGTTATGCACAACCACACGTGGATAAACAAACAACCAACCAAACAAACACACTTATACATTATAAACACACTTATAATTCAACCAAGATTTGACTACTCTACTTTTCATCCTCCATACGAGCTGTTCACAGTCATGCAACTACAGTCTCAGCAGCTGAATAGTAGCCAATGAGCTCGCCTTGTAACCCGCATGATTAGTGATTCGATTCCCTATGGGATCATGGGTGTGCATTGCTGAAGAATCCCAAAGCATGGTGAAACAACCAGCTGTCCAGTACTCCATGCTTTACAATGATTCTCTCTAAATGTTATCAATCCGTGATCAAACTTGATAAAATGCAAAGTCTTCTGAACACCTTGAGCAGCAATGTTAGACAACGTTCAAATATTAGACAGAGGAAACACCAAGAATGCTAGAGAATTTTTAGAAGCTTGGCATTCCAGTGAATTATCAGTCAGTCGCTTCTCGGCTCTCTGAGCGAAGATCATGTGTAATAGACACATCGAGATTGACAAAATTTATCAACCGATACGAAAGAAACCTCTGTCAATGGAAGTGAACATTGAACGTTTGTTTTATTGGAACTGGCAACCATTGGCGGGCAATTGAAGGCGCGAATGGAACGATCGCTTGCAAGTTGAAGGAAGACTGGATTTAAATACGAATAAAAGTACTTTATAACTTCATTTGTACTTAACATTTGTTTGCAGACTTTGTAGTTTTCTTCAATTTAATTGCCAAACAATATAATTTCGTTCAAGGAATACTGGTGTTTTGGATTTAAAGTTGAAGAAAGCGCATAGTATTTATCGGCTCAATCGCTTAAGTCTTCATTACGATAGGAACTTAGGGCTAAGTTCCTTGACAACCTCACACACAAAGGATCAAAGTTCAAATCAAAGAAACAAGCAGTTCCAATACAAGTAGTCCAGAGGGTGTGAAAACACACAATATCAACCAATCACACTCAAGGTCACCGGGAGAGACGACTGATAAACTCGTGGAGGAATCTAAAAGCTCACTTCAAATTGAAGTATGCGCCGAAGATGTTACCTGACAGGGCAACGAACGCTTCGTAAATTAACTATCCAGCTCAGAGAACGCAACCACATCAAAATCATCCATCTGAGCTACAAATCTTCGCCATCATATCTAAATATTAGAATGTTTGGCATACAATTCTCTCCTCCCAAATCATCAATCAGCGCCTAGCTTAAGGATAGGAAATGAAGTCGTAGAGCATGTTGACTACTTCACTAATTTGAGAAGTTGCATCGGCCCCAAAAGACATGATTCCGGACTAAAATCTCAGCACGAATACAAAAAGCTCGTGTGGCATTTGCGAACTTACATCATCTCTGGGGTAGGTGTGATATCCGGCTGGCTGTCGGTCAAAGAATGTGTGTACTGCTTAGTAGCAGTTCGCTCCCTCCTTCTTTATGGCTGTGAGACATAGTCATTGAAAGTGGAAAACATGAATGTGAAGGCTGGCTGTCTTTAATCACAGGTGTTTCCATCCTATCTGCCACGTTAGATCGTATAATAGGGTTACTAATATTGAGGTTGAATGTTACATATGAAGACAAAAATTAATGAGTGACGTTGTGAAGGTGACTAGTCATCGCCTATCTCCACAGGAAATGACAATTGACATAGGATTTTGTTGGAAATGAGCTAGTGGCGGTCAAACAGAAATATGGTTTCATCAGTCCATGAAATCCCCAACAGTTAGGGAAGTGTAGACTGCTGTCCGATTGGGGTCCTCTGGATGGTAAAAACCAATGAAGGCTGGAGACAATCAGTGATCTGACTTAAAATCGTTCTTCAGAATCTGCCTTATCCTCTTTTTTTAAATCATGGAAAATTCCCATTGTAACATATAGAAAATCAAAACAAGTGGTGATTCAGCGAAGAGACTCTTTTCACCAACCAATTTATCATCAAGCTGTACAATCGTATATATGTGGTTTTTAAGAAGTTATATCCGGTGAGGGAATTGAAACATAGGTGTGAATGCATAAAATAATAATAATTATAATATGAAATGCAATTAAAACTAAAATATTTGTGATTATAATCGCAGTTAAATGTCAAGTGGCAAAGCAAATTAATGTTATATATAGAATAATTCATAGGAAGGATGGAACTGGAAAAATGGTGTGCAATTATAAGATTAGTAGACAAGTCGAATACAATAAAAACTTTACGCACCACTGTGTGAAATTTGATGACATAGAATTTTCCGTTGTAAAAAAGAATTGATTTAGAATGACAAATGGAACAAGTGAAATAATACCGGGGACAGTTAAAAGTGAGAGTAGTAATAGTAACAATTGACGTAATAAGGAAGAATATACAAATTGAATAGAAAAAAATGAAAAAAAATGTAAAAATGAAAAATTGGTAGAGCTTAAATATGATTGGGGATTACCATACTTTAGCAAAGAAGGAAAAAGACCATGAAAGTTGGAGGGGAGGGGTTGAACGAACTTTTTCTGTACACAGAGATCTGGCTCTTCTGTTTCGATAGCCAAAGATGGCTTCAGCAATACATATGAGTCGCGTACGTAGGGATTTGGGTAAATTACTCTTTGCCTTGTAGATGACTTTAAAGGTGGAGGCTATAGAGATAGGGTGATCATTATCGACCAGATGTTCAATGATCCCGCTTCTTATTGCTCCACTTCCACCTTTTCGTAACCATGTAGGATAGTGTTCTTGCACCTTCTTCGACAAAACTCGAGTCGAACGACCGATATACCTACCTCCACACGAGCAGGTGAATTGGTAAACACACATAGAGTTGGTCAACAGAGGGGTCTTGTCCTTCAGGTTATTGAACAGTAATGGTCGACTAGTAAAGGCTATTCTCAGAGATGCAGCATTTAATGCATTCACACGTATGATTTAATTCCCTCACCGGATATAACTTCTTAATAAAACCGTATATATACGATTGTACAGCTTGATGATAAATTCGTTGAAAAGAGTCTCTTCGCTGAATCACCACTTGTTTTGATTATCCTCTTTTATCTTCTTTTGTGTGATCCATAGAGTATGGCAATTCAAAGTGCTGCACTTCTGTGCAGAGTCGTATGTTGAAACCAGTCAGTCAGTTAGTTAGATCGAACTTCAAATTGCACAACACACCGATCAATTAATTTAGTTGACTTATTCCAGGTGTACGCCTCCTACACAACAGATGTATGATTCACAGTCTACAGTGTATACACACACACACACAAACACACTTCCAGTGTCAGCACTATGAATGCACATTATGCATTCGTATCACTCATAAGTACTAAAAATTTTATTAACACATATCATCTCCTGGAAAGTGGAGTGTCAATTAAATGAGAGAAAGAATGTTGTACTAACAAACATTGAATATCATTGAGAGGAAATGATCAAAAAAGCAAAATAAAAAAAGGTAGTAAGTAGCTTTGTTTGTTACAGAATCACAGCGCACGGTGAAATGCATAAAGAATAACAGCAAGAGGATAGAGAGAAAAAAATCGATAGTAAACTAAATAGAACACAACTCCGTTATGGATAAGATTTTATTTTGATGAATCACACAGTTGAGTGTTATACAGTAATATTAACTGATGACCACGTTTCGAGCACAATTTAGCACTGCTCATAATATCATATCAGGACACTACTCACACAAGTATAATTAACAGTTAATATTACTGTACAACAAACACTGTGTGATTGATCAAAATAAAATCTTGTTCCTAATGAAGATGAACACTAGACGAAATATCATTCTATTGATTTCCATAGTCCATAGCGAACCAACCAGGAACCGACTGTGAAGCAAATAGGCAGGAAGAAATGGAGACGGATTGGCCATACTCTGAGGAAACCATCAAGTGACATCACTAGACAAGCCATTGCTCGAGTGAAACCCGAAAGGGAAGCGGCGAGTTGGTCGTCAGTGCAGGGTGACTTGTAGGAGGTCATGTGAAGAGGAGATGAAAACGTGTGGGCAGACTGACCAAGTATTTTTTCTTCAGTTCGCCTCTTCCATGTGTATCTACCAATTTAACTCCTCCTGTGGAATGAGCCATTTACTTGCATAGGCCGTACAATTATGCGTGTTTCTCGTCGAATTTCCGAACATCACCCTGCACAGTGGTTAAGCAAAGGACAAACAAAATCTATTCGTAGCGCTATTGTATCTCATCTTGTGGATACAGAACACAAGATTGATGTCAATGAGGTGGCTTTCAAAGTCATTTACCGCATACCAACAAATCTCAATTTCGCCTTAAGAGTTCGACTACTAAATATTGCTGAGGCTGTGCATCCAAAAGAAGTTAGTCCAGACATTATCCTTACCCGCTTGGCCATCTAGGTTTGAATGATCCTCAATTGTTTTGCAGAAATTTTCCTAATTTTAGTTGATATTCTATGTGCTATTATATTTTTATTATTACTATTATAATTTATGCATCTTTAATGAACTGTGGTAATTCCATTGTGATCCTACTTAACAAATCGATATTATTTTAAAAACACTAATATTGTTATTGACTACTAATATTCTAGAATATTATGTGTATATAAACATACATATATAATTGTAGAGGCAGAAGAGAAGGAAATTATCGGAAAAGAATATTCTTCGCTCAGTTATTTTGTGTTTTATAGAATTCTAAATTTTTTTTAATCCAAAGATGATAGCTACTTATTCCGACGGCAGCTAACCAAAACAAATTTACTTGTTGAAACATTCATGCAGAAAAGAAGACTAATTATTCAATTCAATTTATTCGGTACCGAATAAATTGCCAAAAACATCCAGGTACCGCATACTCCAAAGAGATGAGGCTATCGCAATTCGCGTGAAACAACCAGTGCTCTGTATGCAGAAGAAGCAAATCCAACCAGCCACTACTACTTTCCTAGCTGGCCTCCAGTAGAGACTATAAATTCATGAATTTGTAATATTATCTTTCCTAATTTTTCTGACATTCAGTGTGTATTGTTATGTTGATGATACTGAACTGTAATCTATTGATATTATTGATTCGATGTTATTTAAACAACATGAATGCTGTTCATAAGACTAATTCATTCATTCACTCACTATAATGTGTATCTATAACTGTAGAGCCTGGTGATAAAGTTATTGAAAATACTACTCTTTGTTCAGAAACCGTTCTTTTGAAAAAAGTTTAGTAGAATTTTTTAATCAGTCAACACTAAATAAGTTGTTCAGCTCAAAACATTCACACACACATATATATACACAAATACACCGGAAAAAACAGCAGAAAAACAAAAACTCAGAGAATAAAACTTACTCTTATTTCGACGATAATAGAAACATCCGTGTATCTCCAGGACAATTTCAATAATAAATTGGAATATAACAAAGAATATTAAAATCCATAAAGGGTAATTAATAAATTGCAGTTGGAGGCCAGCAGCAGGCATACGTAAGCCCAGCATCATTGTTGGTACAGACAAGACATAGGCAAAGGTGCCGACGAAAAAGTGTATCCAATTGAACCATGGTCTGTATTCATGCGCTGGATTGCATCGGCATAAAGCGATAAATGGCTAAAAGTGAATATATGTGTAAACGATTGAAAATAGAATGAGATAAGAGCGAAAGATATTCAGAGGCATTTTATTTAATCCGTACTAAAGTCAAACTGGATTTCAAAATAACTGACTGATGGAAAACTCCTCAGATGTTTTATCGTCTGGAGAAATAGCGTTATAGCGAAAATATTCATTCAGACATCTATAGAACACAAAATAATTGAGCAAAGAATATCCTTTTCGATGAATTCCTTCTCTTCTGGCTCTACAATTATACATATATGTTTATTTACACACATGATATTCTAGTTAGTAGTCAATAACAATACTGGTGTTTTTTAAATAGTATCGTTTTGTAAAGTAAGATCAATGGAATTACAGTTCATTAAACCCGACCGATAGCTGCTACCTTGACGTGGTGGTCAGGCTTGCATATCGCAATGACCCAACGAGCTACACTGGCTGGAACTTATGTTCCTGTAGGTCCTACCATGCCAGAAAGGTTGTTTGGATAGCGGTTAGACAAAAAGCAGCTACCCAATCCAATAATATGATTCAAACAAACTCACAAAATATCATGCCGCATCGGTCGGGGCCCGGATTAACAACGACCTCGCTTCCTGCTGCCGTGTCACAGGGGAGAAGTGATAAATATGCTACTGAGACACACCAAACAAGAAAGAACAAACAAAAACAGGCCGCGTGTGACCGGCCTCAAGCAGTTGTCCCCTGGGCTCTGTGGTCACGCAACACTAACCTTTTTTCTATTTCAGGTACCCGAAGACTCAACCAACTTCCACGGTGTGGGGAAATTCCACAAAAATTCCGGATTATTCAAACCTGGATGGCCAAGGTAAGGATAATGTCTGAACTAACTTCTTTTGGATGCATAAATTAGGCTTATTAATATGGATCCCCACATCCTCAGCAACATTTAGTAGTCAAATATATTAACAAGCCTAATTTATGCATCCAAAAGAAGTTAGTTCAGTCATTATCATCATTCATTACCTTGGCCATCCAGGTTTGAATAATCCGGAATTTTTGTGGAATTTTCCTAATTTTAGTTGATGTATTTATTTGGTACTATATCTTTATTATTATTATTTTAGCATCTTTAATGAATTGTAATTCCATTGACCATACTTTACAAATCGATATTATTTAATAAACACTAATATTGTTATTGACTACTAATCTAGAATATTCTGTGTATATAAACATGCATATATATATATATATAACTGTAGAGCCAGAAGAGGAGGAATTTATCGAAAAGAATATTCTTCGCTTGATTATTTTGTGTTATATAGCCACTGAATTTCCTATGAAACATGAAAGTGATGGAAAGTTCCACTTCCTCGACATTGCCATGCAACGCCTAGTAGATGGCAGTCTTAAGAAGTCAATTTACCGAAAGCCTACTTGGAAAGGACAATACCTACATTTTAATAGTTTTTGTCCAAAAAGCTTTAAACGTGGACTAGTCAAGACTCTATACTACAGAGCTAGGAGATTATGCTCCACAGAGAAATTAGAGGAAGAATTTATGTTTCTCAAAAATATGTTGAAGGGCAATGGTTACCCTCAAAGATTTATTAACAAGTACGGAAGATCTGAAGTCTCAAATGTCAAACAAATCACAGCGGGGAAAAAAGCAATCTACATTCAACTTGATTATAAAAGTGAAAACATTGTAGCAATGGTCAACAGAAGACTGAGTACATCACTAGCCATAGCCTATCCTGCAGCTAAGCTCGTCCCCGTCTATCGAACAACTTGCTCTTTGATGCAATCAAAAATCGATAGATATCCTTCTCATGTTAACTTCAACTGTATATACAAATTTACATGTATCTGCAGGAGCAGTTACATTGGAAGAACAGAAAGAAGGGCATATCTACGATTTTCTGAACATGTACCAAAAAGCTTATGTCTAAAGGGAACAAATGCTTTAAACAGTGCCATCACCAGGCATCTCCTTGACATGGGTCATGAGGTGGACCTCGCGAGATCGTTCAAAATTATCAACAGGCAAAAGAGTTCACTTCTCTTTAAGTTTGCCGAAGCGATGTCCATCAAAGACCTGAAACTCGATTTATGTGTTCAGAAAGAAGTAGTTATCAGTCTTTCTTTGCCCTGGTAACTGGATATTTTCATCTCTCTTTCATCTGATTACGTAATGTCGAAAGTTTCCATTGTGTATGATCACTACTGTTCGGAATAATGTTTAATATTATATATATATATATATATATATATATATATATATATATATATATATAATTACTGTATGCATATACTGATTGATTGATTCTTGTTTAAAAATGAACTCTGTGCAAGTATGTTAAAATTGTTTCTGTAGATATACTTAATAATGTCTTTGGCCTGTAAACAGCTGAGCTGATGAGAAGCCAGCGAAATAAATGATGGTACCATTTTATTCTGCGAAAACCACTGTTGTTGTTCTTGCTTTATTCAAATAACCATTTTACGTGAAATGAAACATTGTCCATCCACCTTGTGTCAACTGCATAGGTTCAACGACTTATTATAAGAGAAACAGTTTGGTGCACCTCATTAGTGTTGCCCCACTAAACGAAATTCGCATGCCGATCAGTATTCATCCTTTGATATTCAACTACACGAAAATTAAATTTTAACTGAGTACCAGCACATTATAAATTTTTCCTTAAACTGAAAATGTTCACGAATCGATGAGAGAGACTTACATTGATCAACGCCAATGAGAAAACAATCAAACCAAGAATTGGATGAATGTAGTAGGGATATGCAGTTGCTTGGGAATAACCTTCGCAATAGATAAAAATCAATATTATACTGATACACGTCAAGCCAACACATATGCCTTGTAATATTCGATGCGACTGGAACCAGACACGTTCACCCAATAGGCCAGAATTAGGCCAAACATCTTTATAATAACGTGCTAGTATAACACCAATACTGGCACACAGTACCCAGGCTAATACCATAAGACAGCCATGAGTTTTAGCTATTGACGATCCACGGCCAGCTACACCAGTCATGCTTCCGTAAATAGGTCTGTGAAAATAAAAGGCAAAAACAAAAGGATTATTCATTTATAATCCCCATCCAGGCATTAGTGAAAACAAAGAGGATTCAAGAACACCATCCAGCATGGTTGCGAAAAGGCAATAGTGGTGCAATAAGGAGTGCGATAATTGAACACCTGGTTAACACTGATCATTCCATTTCAACAAACGCCTCCTTCAAAGTAATCTACAGAGTCAAGAATAACCTACCAAAGGCAATACAATTTCGTCATCTTTGTATCGTTAAAGCTTTGGCCATTCACATAGAAAAACCGGAGCTGTGCATACATAAAGGGATTACTCAACCACTTCTATTGTCTTGGTAACAACTTTTTTGATTTGATTTTTTGATTTTGATGACTTAATTTTGTTTCTTTACCTGTTCTTTAATTACTTATAATTCTTGTATTCATTTAGAACTCTTACGTAATTTCGTGTTCTCTACTTTGTTCCTATGTGCATCCTGAGTACAACTCACTCATCAAACTATTCATATTATTACATAACTTCTTTTAACAACTGTTTGTGACAACTCATCACCTTTGTTACTACCCTAATTTCATTAACACCTAATTTTCTTGACTGATTTTGTATTACATAACTCCAATTGCCAATCTTCACCTGTTTAGTTAAAATAACTATAATCAATTGTATTTATGTTTGATAAACTTATTGTACACATACATACAAAATAACACATATATATTTGCGATTGTACAGCTAAGAAAATGAATTCGCCGAAAAGACTCTTCGCTGATCTACATGTTTTGTTTTCATTAAAAGGATTATTACTAACCTGATACTAGGATATCTTGTCAGTGCTGAGAGTGTTTTGATGACTGCGGGGCAGTTTATACAATCATCAGGCTGACATGATATTATATCATCCTTCATATCATGAATAATATACAATTCCATCATTCCTTTTCTTTTGATTTTATCGGTATGTGTGTGAGTGAGTAGATTCCATGAAACAAATATTTATTGATCAATCTCTCTGCACCCTGCACCCACCCACTTGACTCTTTAGAAGTGTATAGATATGTCTTCCACCCTATTGTATGACTATTTGTTGATGCACTGATTGAGATTGGTGACTTTTTCTGTAAGCTATTCATTTCTGTGGGATCAAACGACTCTACACTTAACTAAGTTCCTATGTTCCGATAACCTAACTGACCAGGATCAACTGGTCTCAACTGAGTGCAGTCGGTCACACAGTGATTCCAATATATTTCGTAGAATAAATTCTGTGTCATTTGGTCATTAGGAGGGTTACCTCCTGTCAACTGACATCATGTAGCGTTTACAAGTAAGTTAAAACTGTTCTGTGCATAAACTTAATTAAATAATTTCTTTAGGCTGTGCGCAGCTGATGACAAGGCAAAGAAGTAAATGATGGCACCATCTTATTCTGCCCAAACTGTTGTTCTTACTTTATTCAAATTCATAAAGGGGAATAAGTGTATATTATTATTATTATTGTTCCCTTGGGTTCCTAGTGGAACATAGGGCTGCTGTACTTTTCACCTGCATCCATGCTAATCCATACTGTTTCAAATCCTCTTCACACGATCTTCTCAATGTCACCCACACTTGGACGTCCCACTCGCCGCTTCCCTTTCGGGTTCCACTCGAGTGGTGGCCTGACGCGCAATGTCACCCAGTGGCCTCCTCAGCGAGTGAGTGTCCAATCCATCTCCACTTTCTCCTGCATATTTGTTGGGCGATTGGTTCTAGTTTTGTTTGTTCCCATAGTTTCTTGTTGGTGATTCTTTCCGGCCATCACGGTGATACTATGCCTACCAGTATTACAAATTCCTATAAACGGACTCTGGGTGGGTATTTATTGTGTTCGTCACTCACTCACTTACACCAAATTGAGAACTTTTGAAGACTAACAGCAATGCACAGCTACCTCAAGGCTATTAAAAGATGCTCAGACATACAAAATGAAATTTTTAATATCATAAAGCGAATGAAGAAGGGTACGATGTCAACTCACGATGTGATCACAACTGGACGTTGTGAAATAGATTCTCCACCGGCAAAAGGACGACCGAATCCGTCTTTTTTGCGTTCATCACCACGTGTAACAATTAAATGATAGGCGTTAGGTGATGTTAAATCCATAAGTTGATGAACTGTATCCAATGGTCTTACGCGTCGTCTAAAACGACATTGTAAAGTGCCATCCATCGCGTTGAATACACCACCTAGATCTTCACCTTCGGTTATCAGCAGATCCTATAGTTGAATGAGATAAGAAGAATAGTTAACCAAGCTTAATTCAGAGAAATGAAATAACATGGGGTGATTTTTTAACAGTTTTTTACGCTTTCATTTTTGGCAGACAGAGCTGAGTGAAGTGATTTTATTTATTTGTGTGTGTGTGTGTGACATCAATTCCTAAAGGTTTGAAGAGTCTTGCAGCGATTTCTTTGTACAAGGTAAGATTTTTTCTTTGTTCCCATTGAGGGCTATGGAGGAGGTCCCCCAACCATACATAAGGAACGTCTCCATACCAATACAAGTAGACTAGAGGCTCTGGAAACAGACAAAAGCAGCTAATTACGTTCAATGATATAAGAATAAAACTTGGGCACTGTGGTAGAGTGTAATTCCATTATGGGTAAATTTTTATTTTGATAGAGTCTCACAGTGTTATACAGTAATATTTACTGATGACGTTTCGAGCACAAGCTATTGCTCATAATCATATCAAGTTACTCACACAACTTCTTTCCTTCATTTATATACATGTGTGGAATCGACTAGATATTGGAATAAAATTCAATATGAGATAATGTACATTCAGAAATAATAGTACGAGTGTTATTAATCCATTGCAATTAGATGGGAAATACGACGAGTGTTTTTATAGTCATAATAAGTTGATTGTTAGAATGTGTTTGAATGGAAATAGATTATTTATTATCCTCTTCTGATTTGACTGGTGGCAATAATACGAGTGGTATTAATCCATTGCAATTAGATGGGAAATACGACGAGTGTTTTTTACAGTCATAATAAGTTGATTGTTATAATGTTATGATGTGCTTGAATGGAAATAGAATTTTAAGACAATTTATCATCTTCTTCTGATTTGACTGGCGGCAATAATATCTTCCATATTTCTGGTATTTGCATTGAGTCACTTCTGTTGCATGTGTTGGGTGTAGATTCGATGAACAAAGATTCAGTAATCAACCTCTCTTTCCACCTACCTAGATTACTTTTTAGAATTTTAACCCTCTCCCACCCTATTGTGTGGTTGTGTGTTAATGCATGCATTGCGATTGCCGAGCTTTTTTCTAAATTACTTATCTTCTCTGGGTCAACCATTCTTATCTTAGCTAAATTCTTATGTTCTGACAATCTGACTACCCCTGACCTACTAGTTTGACCTATGTAGTTGACCTCACAGTCATTGCAGGGTATTTTGTAAATTATATTATTTTGTCTAATTGGGTCCACTGGGTCCTTTAACCTACAGAGCTTGTCCCTGAGTGAGTTTGTAGGTTTAAATGCCACCCTAATTAAATGTTTAACAAACCGAGCAATGGCACTAAGTAGCACAAAAAAAGACCTTAATGATGAAATAAAACAGATAGAAGAGGCGTTGGTTTTAAATAACTATCCTCTAAAATTCATTAGGAAGATTGAAAAACGCCAAAAGAAAAATAAAAAGAATTGTGAAACTAGTAGTAATAAAATAAATAAGAGAGAATATAAGTCATCTACAGTTATACCATATAAAGAAGGGACATCTGAGACCCTACGTAGGATTCTAAATAAAGCAGGAATTAGGGTGGCATTTAAACCTACAAACTCACTCAGGGACAAGCTCTGTAGGTTAAAGGACCCAGTGGACCCAATTAGACAAAATAATATAATTTACAAAATACCCTGCAATGACTGTGAGGTCAACTACATAGGTCAAACTAGTAGGTCAGGGGTAGTCAGATTGTCAGAACATAAGAATTTAGCTAAGATAAGAATGGTTGACCCAGAGAAGATAAGTAATTTAGAAAAAAGCTCGGCAATCGCAATGCATGCATTAACACACAACCACACAATAGGGTGGGAGAGGGTTAAAATTCTAAAAAGTAATCTAGGTAGGTGGAAAGAGAGGTTGATTACTGAATCTTTGTTCATCGAATCTACACCCAACACATGCAACAGAAGTGACTCAATGCAAATACCAGAAATATGGAAGATATTATTGCCGCCAGTCAAATCAGAAGAAGATGATAAATTGTCTTAAAATTCTATTTCCATTCAAGCACATCATAACATTATAACAATCAACTTATTATGACTGTAAAAAACACTCGTCGTATTTCCCATCTAATTGCAATGGATTAATACCACTCGTATTATTGCCACCAGTCAAATCAGAAGAGGATAATAAATAATCTATTTCCATTCAAACACATTCTAACAATCAACTTATTATGACTATAAAAACACTCGTCGTATTTCCCATCTAATTGCAATGGATTAATAACACTCGTACTATTATTTCTGAATGTACATTATCTCATATTGAATTTTATTCCAATATCTAGTCGATTCCACACATGTATATAAATGAAGGAAAGAAGTTGTGTGAGTAACTTGATATGATTATGAGCAATAGCTTGTGCTCGAAACGTCATCAGTAAATATTACTGTATAACACTGTGAGACTCTATCAAAATAAAAATTTACCCATAATTACGTTCAAGTTCACCAGGAGAGATGACTGATAAACTCGTGGATAAATTTAAAAGCTCACTTCAAATTGAAGTGTGCGTGGAAGATGTTGGCTAGTAAGGCAAAGAAAGCTTCGCAAGATAACCATCTAGCTCAGAGAACACATCTACATAGGAATTATTAAATGTGATGTACAAAATTCTATAATTCTTTGGGTGGGGGTAAAACTATACCATTCTGAGAATATATGCACGCGAGTTTTGTACGGCTTCTCTAGGGATTTGAGAAGTTACACATGAACTGTTGGACAGCATAATACACAATAAATATATTATGTGGCCTGCTTTATTTCAGCATTTCCTGTAATCACATTCTTTATATATACTACTTATCCAAATTGAATACTAGCCAACGCATATACAAAATTTATAGATACCTACAACACAGAAAAACCGTCGTAGGTTTCGTGTGAAACGACTAGAAGTAATCAACAATGAAAAAACCAACTATGGTATATGAAGGCGTCGGTGGTACAGCGGTTAGGACGCTCGCCAACCAAGCACATGGCCCGGGGTTCAATCTCCGGTCACCGGTGCACTCCTTTACCTCGCTAAACCAGAAATAAAAGCTGGTAAAGAGGAAAGGTTGGGCATGAGGCTAGCAACCCCATCCAGTAAAAATAAGCACCAATGCTACCGAAACTTCGAGCCTCTAGCTTGAAGCCCTATGTTCCAATGGGAACGTGAAGAAACAAAAAGAAAGATATATGAAGAGAATTTGGGCATTGTGATAGAGTAAAATCCTCATTATTATTATTTCCTTTAGTTCCTAGAGGAAAACAGGGCTTCAGCCGTGCGTCTCCATTGCGTTCGGTTCTCTGCTAGAGTCTTCACTTCGCTCCAAGTCTGCCCACACGTTTTCATCTCCTCTTCACATCACCTCCTCCAAGTCACCCTTGCACTGACGACCAACTCGCCGCTTCCCTTTAGGGTTCCACTCAAGGGCTTGTCTAGTGATGTCACTTGATGGTTTCCTCAGAGTATGGCCAGCCAATCCATCTCCATTTCTTCCTGCCTATTTATTGCACAATCAGTTCCTTGTTGGTTTGCTCCCAGAGATTTCTGTTGCTGATCTTTTCTGGCCGGCCATCTGATCTTGAGTATTGAGTGAAGGCAGCTGTTAATGAAGGTCTGTAGTTTGTTTGAGATGCTCTTTATGATGCGCAGTGCAAGTATCTGATCCGTATGTTAAGTAGCACTGACTTCACATTGGAGTTGAAAATCCGGATCTTATTTTTGACGCTGAATGGTGTTGACCTCCACACAGACTTGAGAGTTAGGTTACAATTTAACATTCTCGGAATGTTTAGGTTTTTCCGAAATTTCACTTTAAAAACTGACACTTTCAGTGATTTTAGTCAACAAAGTCAGTCGTAAAAAAAGCCTCTTGGGAGGTGACCATGCACTTCGCTCTTCATCATCCCTTACTGCTACTAGCCAAGAGAGATTTGAAACGCTGGAGTCAATTAATTAACAACATCAACCTTTATTGTTTTCTGTACTTCTTATATTTATAATCCTCTCAATTTTTTTTTGTTTTCATTTGTTTATTTTCCCATAAGTGTGAACATCATTTAAGTTGTGTTATAACTAGTAATTTTGTATTTCCCTCACCATGCTGCTATATCAACAGAACATTAGATTCAAAAACCTATGACATACTAATATTTCCAAACTGAATCGACAACACCGTTTGAAACAAACTCACTGTTATTTTTATTATTATTTAATTTTCTATAGTTGCTTTTTGTAAGGGTTAGCTTTGTTTTTTTATGAATTGATCACGGATCGATATCAATAAAAGAACCATTGAAAACCAGCCACAGGGAGTACTGCCAGACAGCTGTTTCATCCCACTAGTTTGGGAATCATCGGCAGTACGCACCCGCCACACGGGTTCGAACCCAGGACCTTCCGGTTACAAGGCAAGCTAGCTCGTATACCATTTAGCCACTGGGACCCGATTCAGTGGCCAGTCCATGAATTCTAACTTCTACCAATTCGTGTATTTAATATTCTCATTTTCTACTTCGAATATTTTTGACTTTATATCGTAAACGTGGCCAAAATTCCTCTGGTTAATTTTGTTTTAATTTTTAATTTTATTGATATTTTAAGTAAGC